GATAAATCATGCACGCTCTGCTTTTACTATTATTACACCTAATACACGTTCATTTTACGCGCGCTATATCTATGTTCTTCAGTTGACACTTTTTGAAGGAATAAAATTACTTCGCACAATTAGAACTGGCTCGGAATTTCTAATGAGAAATATGTACCATTCTCCTTTGTTTCATGTCATCATCTAAATGCGGCAATTTTTGTGCAGGGATTTTGCTTACTTCCATTAATACACATTGTGGAAAACACAAATCAAATGCCGCTGTAAGATTTACATGTGCTCCGCCTCTTTTAAATGTCTTTTAAATCTTATAAATTTATATGTAAACGTCTTACACAATTTTCAGCGAAAAAAAAGAAATTTGAAAAGAAAATTAACTCATAATATTTAACCCTCTTATAAATTATACAACATTAACACTTAAAAAATTTTCTAAACTCAAAATGTGTTTCTACTTCTCCGATTATTATTGAGTTGGCAATCCGCACCTTGACCTTGAAAAGATCTAGTGTACACCCAAGTGTTTTTTGTAAATTGAATGTGCTCCTTAGAAATCCATACAAAATAGGTCGACATATGGTTAATTTTGGATATGTTCCATAACTTTAAAAAATCATGTAAGATAAAAAAACTCTAATCACTTTCCACAGTCTGGCAACTGACGCGCGTAAGATCGTACGCTTTTGATTGTTCTATTGCTTAAATTTTTCTTATCGTTTTATTCGCGTTTAAAGCTAAGTACTTGTAAACATATAAAAGCATTAAATGTGTAAAAGTGTAAGAATTACATTAATTAAATTAAAATTTGTGATTTCCATTTTGGTTCTTGCGATTAGCACTTGTGCTCGCAATGGTAAATCCCTTTCGAGTTTTTTTTTCTATCTTTGGTGTTAACAGCTTTTCTCTTGGCTTGTTTACCGTTGCTTCAGTAGTGTAAATTTTATGTGTAATTTAAGAGATAATTTTTCTGATTTTTATTCTTCTCTTTCGTCCAGTTTCTCTTGTTCTTTTGCTCTCTTAATACACTGACAATGTAACGGAGAAGTTTTCTTAAATTTCTTAAATTTGTATATAAATTTAGTGTTGTGGATTCTTTTGAATTGGTTCCTTTTTGTCCTAATAATTCACTTATTTCTTTTTGTTGACTTGACATGGAGTGCTTATATACACCATGTCGCGCAAAAACAGGCCCGGAATCGGATAGATTCGTTTCTTGTTGGCTCTGCGAACGCTTTGGTCATGCATAATGTGCCGGTATTCTCGGCCGGGCTGCTGACGCAGTCGCTGAACCTTCGCCCGCTGAGCACTCATCTTCTACCCAAGTAAAAAAACTAACGAGTCGTAGCGTAGCGTGTGGGACGTCACCCCCGAGTTCCTCTAAATCTGATTCGTTGGTACAACTTACCGCTCACTTTAAAATGAGCGTTAATGTCTCCGATATTGTTGAGTCGGTTGGTAACAAAATAGTTACAAACAAGCCGGCAAGTTTTAAGCTACGCTGAAGTGGCAAGAGTATCTCCGCCCAGGGCTGCCACTCACTCTAATCAAGTGCCGTCGCCTAAAAATAATAAAGAGAAAAATAAATCATCCTCTCCCCCTGACTGTTCGAATGTGAACGCTGGTCACCAGGCTGGGCGATTCGCACAAGCTCCTGGTGCAAGGGCGATAACGCCATCTACATTCTCCCCACCTCTGAACTCCCCAACCGTGAACCCTCCTGTTCCTAGTAATGACAATTACTTGACGGCAGTTCCTCCGAGAAAAACAATATTTATGTCAAGACTGACACCTGAAACATCGGTGGATAACATAAGAAGTTATCTGGCGGCGAGTGTCCTATCAGTCAACTTAAAGCCCGTTAGTATTTTCAAAACGGCTCCTTCTCAACCTAGAGCAATCTTATCAGTTCCGACTGAAAACGTGGAAATGTCGTTAAATAAACCATTGTGGCCGGTTGGATCCTTAATTAAGGAATTTATCCATCGTGATCGCCCCCGTAATACTAAACCAGCAGTCCTGTCGCCTTCAAAAAACTAAATGTTTTTCAGGCTCACTATCTCTCATATATCAAAATCATTCGTCGGAATTTTGCCATAATTCGTTCCAGGTGTTCAGAAATGATCGATTGTATCGCATTGGTGATAATGTATTAATTGCCATATTTTCGTCATTTCCGTCCAAGTCAGTTGAATTTCCTACTACTCCCGACGTTGAATTTATCGCCATTCGAGTGAAAATGCCTAAGAAACAACTATTTATAACCTGCTCCTATATTCCTCCAAATTCTGATGTCTCCATATATAACAAACAGGCCGCCATCATTTGTGAAGTGGCCAAGCAGTCGAAACCTATCGATTTGGTCGTTGGTTTGGATAACCTCACTTTGCCTCAGGTCATTTGGTGTTACAGTGATAAATCTGGCCGTTTGATTTCTACCTCAATATCTGACAGAGCTGTTGTGTTCTTTAACGAATTATTTGATCATAATTTAGTTCAATACAACTGTACCCCTAATTGTAGTGTTAGACTGCTTGATCTTTGCTCTGCCAATTTTCTTGAGATTTGTGTTCATCGTTGTCTTCAGGTCCTTATCATCCAGCAATATGTATTTCACTTCATCACAAGCATGATGGTTCATTGAACTGTTTCGATGTTCCAAATTTAACTTTTTCAAATAAATATTACGATTTTCATAAAATCAATATTGTATTGCTGAAATATCACCTTTCACATATAGGACTTGATTTCTGAACCGGTAGTATTAAAAGCTTATTGTCATCATTCTACAATACATTAAATCTAGCTATTGCTGCATCTGTTCCGATCAAGCAATGTCGACCTCGAAGCAGGTGTCCCCCGTGGTTTAATAAAACAATTAAATATCACAAGAATAGAAAAAACTCGCTATTCAAAAAATATTCGAAAAGTGGCTTTGGGCTCGACAATGTCGCTTACTCGGTGGTGAGGCATAGATTTAACTCCCTCAACCATCATTATGACTGCAGAAACCTTCAGTTCGTTAAATCCTCTCTGTTTGCTAATCCTAAATTCTTCTTTAAATTTGTTATCTGAAAAAGAAAAATTTCCACATATCCATCTCATGTTTCTTTTAATGGTTCTGATTCCTCGCATAATTTTGAAATCTCAAATCTCTTTGCTGAGTATTTCCGACGAAACTTTTCGATTGCTAATTTCGATTTATCAGCAAACTACCCATATCCTATAACTAACTCAGTTTCAATACCTAACTTAGTTATTTCGGAAGATGACGTTTTTAAAGGGTTGCGTTCTCTAAAATGCAGTTGTTCGCCTGGACCTGATGGAATTCCACCATGTGTACTTAAATCTTGCGCTGTCGAGTTATGTGGTGTGATTTCAAAGATTTTTAACATGTCCTTGTATTTAGGTGTTTTCGCTTCATGTTGGAAGAGTAGTTTCCTTATTCCTATCCACAAGCGTGGAAGTAGACAATTTGTTGAGAACTACGGAGGCTTAGCCAAGTTGAGTATCTTGCCCAAGTTGTTCGAGCGTATTGTGACTCGGCATTTGGCCTTTGCCATTAATTCGTACATTTCTCCGCACCAGCACGGCTTTCGTAAAGGGCAATCTACAGTCACCAACTTGTTAGGGTTTACCTATCATGTTTTCAAGGCTTTTTCTAGAAGCTCTCGCACAGATGTTATTTACACTGATTTAAGCAAAGCATTTGATATGGTTAACCATAGACTACTTATCTTTAAACTCCAAGCCTCGGGTTTCCCACCCTTCTTAGTGAAATGGATAAGCTCTTATCTGCACAATAGATCCTAGATCACTGCACAATAGATCACTTCGGATGAATTCTCTGTGACGTCTGTACCGTCTCTTGAGAAACGTAAGTTTGTTCTTGGGATTTCCTTCGTAGTCAAATTAATAAATGGTGCAATTGACTCCCCCGCATTACTTCATGAGATAGGCTTTAATGTCCCTAACCGCTTCTCTAGGCACTTTATCTTGATAAATCTTAGTCAAATATAACTACGAACTGTTTAATTCGCTCAGAGCTGTTTGCAAGAACCTAAATGACATCTATCACTTATTCTCATTATGGGACTCTTTAAAGTCCATTAAAGCAACATTGCTTATTACGCGCGATTTATCTATGTCGTACTTAAACTAGCTTTTAACCTTCAAACGGCGTTACGATCCGAAAATCAATTGTTGTTAACTATTAACGGTTGCCAAGCTTATGCATGTTTGCTATGGTTCATTTGCAATTTGCTCCTGTACCGGTTGTAAGTGTGGCTTTATGCTAGTTGTGTACATACTTTGTTCTTTTTTTTACTTCTTATTTGTTTTATTGTACTTGTAGTTTCATATTAATTAATATAAGTTTTGCTTTAAATGCCAATTGAACTCGACTGTTATTTGTTTAGTTGAGTTTCATGTATAAGTAGATTTAAAAAAAATAAATAAAAAACCGTGCAGAAAAAGTGATAATGAAATGTACATTACATGTTTATAACACAAAACAATTCATTTTTATTGCAAAAAACAAAGTAACGGTAAAGGCAGAAAAAAATATCATAATATTAAAGAAATATAAAAATCTCATTTTCTCGGGAATTCAAAATTTACAATAACTCTGCCACTGACTTTGAGATCCTTTTATCACCTCTTAAATGCATTTAAAAATTCATTTTATATTCTTATTGTGCGAGACTTACCTCTTATTTTAATCAGCCGTTTCTAAGTCTTAAAATAGTAGAATGGAGTAAGCATTGGTTGTTTTAGAAAAAATAAGTCTTAAGATTTACTTTAAAAGCTAACAAAAATTTCACTTTATCGTATTACAAAATCGCAGCATGAGAGAAAAATAAGAAATAAAGCCCAGAGAAAAATATCCCATTTGTTTAAAAATTTTAGAACAATTTCATTTTACAGCGTATTACAAAATTTTAACATGAGAAAAAAATAAAAAGTTTTTTAGATTAATGTGTGAATGGATACATATTTATTTAATTAATGAAATTTTAAAAAAATATAATTTTGCAACTTTTTTTGTAAAATACATATGTTTCGTTTTAATTTTTCCTGGGTAAATGAAACTTATTGACTTCTTATTAAGTTAAAGACTCTAAAGCATTTTCTACCTTAAACTGTAGGATAACTAGCTGAACTAGCGATGCCACATTGATTTTCTTGGTTACGTGCCATTTTAATATATCCCTTTTCACCCCAAGTTATGCCCCAAGAATTCTTCACCAGCCAGTAATCTTGTCCCTCAGAATTGGTGCCGTAACCCACCACTAGAACGCCATGGTCCAAAGTTTCGCTGTTACATTCGGGTTCATTATAAACACCCTCGGAATAGAATTGGAATGATTCGTGGGAAGCATCAATGGCTACCGCAATAGGGCCCATTGTAGCTACGGCTTTCTTCATTTTATCTTCATCACCCTCGGGTATATCAAAGTAACCAGTATCGGTAGCTCCGACAGCAGCCCGCACAAAATGACAAGAATCATCTATGCCCTCATAGGGATAAGATTTCTCTGTGTCAACACCACCATTGTCCTTAATATAGCGGAAGGCGTTGTCCATTAAACCACCATTACAACCTGAAAGACAGATTTAAACAATTTTTAATTAACGATAAGAAAGAGACGAATGCGCATTACTAACAGAGGAGTTCGCGCTATTAACAGAGGAGGTCGGGTTATTGACAAAGGAGGTCGGGTTATTAACAAAGGAGTTCGGGTCATTAACAAACAACCCAGCAAATATTTATATTTTGACGGGAAACTCTAGACTTTTGAATAGTATTTTTCTTCTTCTTTTTCATGACAAAGTATTCTCAACACAATATTAAGTTCGAAATAAGTATTCTTTTCCAGTATCTTGTGGAAAAAGAAAGAAATTTTTATGAGTGAGAAAGTTGCAAAAAATCAAATACGGTGAAAAATTGAAAAAATTACAAAATATCTGAAAAGAAAATTACCATTATTGCCGTATTGGCTAGAACAGTCAACTAAATTTTGTTCACTCAATGACACTAAAATACCCGTTTTACGATAATGTTGCCCTTCTAAAGCTCCCGTAGTGGAGAAAGCCCAACACGAGCCGCAATGACCCTGATCCTTGACACCGGTAACAGCACCTTTTGTACGCCAATCTACGAATTTGGGCACAGTTACATGAGCAGGAGGTATGTAGGTCAAACCAACTAACCCATGTTCGTGGCTGCGAAATGAAAAATTTCTAAGTTATTTTAATATTGCATACCCATCAGAAAAAGCAAACATTACCGCATTATTTTACGCAATGTGTTATTAAATCCATTCATAAGTTGACGGAATTCATGATGCAGCAAATCGGCATATTTGTTTAAGCCCAATTTATAGGCCACTTTGTTATCTGCATATAGTTGATTATGTTTCGCGATTTTATGACGATTTTCATTGTAGATTTTTAAACGGAAGTCTTCCTCAGTAGCCGAGGCGTATTTTTTGTTATGTTCCAGCTACAAAAACGAATAAGTAAGAAAATTATACTTAGTGGTGACCGAATTTTCAATTTTTTTTTTTTTAAAGAACTAAATTTTTATGTTCTATAACATGGAGTAGATTCGGCTGATTTTTTCTATTTTCAACATATTTTCGTCGCAAAGGCATGTTGGCGTTGTAGGCGAATCCGTGCAACAGTTTAAGTCACTTCCAAATTCTTTTGCAAATTGCCTTGTGTTTATTTTCGCTGAGAGACGAATTCACGGACGTACACAGGGGAATTCCAAATTTGAAACTGGCCAAGAATTCATATACTTTGTGTGGTTCTTGAAGCTTGTTTCTACGCCTTATAAATGTGTTAAAAAAAAACTTAGTTTTTGATACACTATAATATATAAATATCCTTCGGTGATATTCTGAGGAATCCGTCATTAAATAAAGATATATTATTTCTACAATATACTACTACTCTACTTACGGTACATGGATATACCAACTTTATGCGGATATATACAACACCCAGAAGAACTTGAGATAGACTAAGCTTTTATCTCTATCGTCTAGCTTGTCTGGTCATCTGACTATCTGTCTTGTGTTCTTGCATTCAATCTAGACGGAGCCATTTTTAAGACACTTTGATGAAATTTACGAACGAAATGTTTTAGACCAAGGACGAACGGTTTTGAATATAGTTCGGATCGTGACATTTTTTCAACCACTTCCCATATAAGGAATTATTTTACAACGTCGTTATATAAACAGCTATATAAAGAGAAATGGTGTTGTGTATTTAATTTACCCCACTGTAATTTTTTACAGGGTTTATTTAGGAAAATTTTTTACATATTTGCTCCTAGAATATCATTACTGAAATTTATTGAAGCATTTGATGAACATGAAATTTGGACCTCTTCAATATGGAATAAGCGATATAACCATAGCGAATTATATTTACTATGCCGCTAAAAACGTCACATTAAGCCATTCACAGCGAAACATTGACATCTTTTTCCATTAGAGGAACTTATCTTTGATTTAAAGATAATTTTGTTTGACTTAGAGACACTTTTTTGGGCTTAGGCCTACTTTTACAGAACGACTTAGTAGTACCTTTCGGACCATTTTTGATTTATTTTTCACTTAATGATGTTAAAGTAAATTGGAAACAACTTAAAAATAAATTGGATTTAAACTTTTACCGTTAATTTTGTATGTGATAGTAAACCAATTTGAACTGCTTGCTTTGAATGTGAAGGTGGTGGTAGGGAACACATGGGTCAGGGGTTTTAGGAAGTATCTTCATAGGATCAAAAATCATAGAAAAAATGTGGAAATATTGTCGGTGGAAATATGTTATCCTCTACGTACCACTTTGCACCCCTTGCCCTATAGGCGTTCAAGTTTTACTAAAAGGTATGACTTAAATTAAATTTATCTAAGAATAAAAGCATGTCATCTTAAGTTGAAATAGGATTTATTGCTCAAGTTGAGTTATGGTAATTTTTTTTTTATGAAAATTTTGTATGCACATCTTGCATGACTCCCTCAGGTTCGTACACTAAACTGCTTTCCAAGGCGTTTAACATTGGGCAAAAGGGTTCTTTGGATAAATATGTACGTACACAAAACGTACGTAAACAAAAACAAGAAAAAACTAGCAAAATTGCTATATTTCGGCATGACCGATTACTAAATATCCTACGCAACTTCGCCTAATACATGTAAAGGCACAGTTTTCAAATTCACTAAATATCGGAGATTGGCATATTTAAAAAATGGGTACTTTGGGCGTGTTTTTGTTACCGAATGGATTCGATTTTAATACTACGGTCAAGAATTTTTATAATCCACCTTCACTTTTTATCACATTTAAAGCTAATAAGAGGAGTCTTTGAAAAAGGGGTGTTTTTTATTTTTGTCCAAAAATACCTGGCAAACAAAAATATATAAACAAATAGCATATATTTCCATAAATAGATATGTATATACCAAAATTATTTCTGATATTCGATATACCCGCTCAATTTATCTTGAATGTTTTTCTTACTTTTTGAGTACAGTATTGTTTATCTATTCACCAATAGATATTTCGTCGCCTTCTAAGTCCCCCTAACACACTTGTGCCAGGGCTTTTTCCAGTTCTTCCCGAAGCCCTTATGACAAGACCTTTTTGGACCTTTGCACTCTTCCAGTGATGCGGTTTTTATCTTGTTAATCGTGGCAAAATTGGCACCTTTCGTGAGTCTCTTCGGTCTTGGGAACTAGAAGAAGTCCTAAAAGGCCAATGCCGGAGACATGATAACGGAATTTTTTTTTTGTCCAAAAAATTACGAACACGCCATGACATGTAAGTTAGCATATTATCATAATGCTATATCTCTGATCGGGTTGCTCACAATTCCATACGTCTGTCTCATACTACTTCCCCCAAACGGCATAACTTCAGGGTGATGTTTCTTACCTTGTGGCAAAAAGTCCACGCAATTATAATTGAAGCAAATAACGAGCAAAACCGTCACATTTGACTGGACTTGGTGTGCTTTTGTCGGTCTTGATTCTTCTGGCCGCTTCCTTAGTAATTGCTTTTTTACGAACAAACAATGACGTATGGGCTGAGGAATTATCGTGGTGATATACATCAATTTTTATAACCGCAAGAATGTTTATCACACAAACAAACACGGATGAACGGGCAAGCATACCGAAATTAACTCAAAGTTTAATATACTTTATATACTCTTTTGCTAATGCTTTGACAAAATAAACACACTCTAAACATTGGTGGTAGGAATAAAAAACAAAAGCATTGCCCACATCATAACAACACCGCAAAAGCCCCTTTGTGCGTTGTCATATAAAACCTCTTTTACATAAAGAAGTTTTTAACTTTCGATTATTTTTATTTTATTGGAATGAAAAATTGAAAACTTAGTTTAAGAAAAGAGGAGATCTTCCCGACCTTAAACGACGTTTGAGAATTCGATGAAAATTATTTGTTCCTAATTGGCAGTAGAATTCTGGTCTCTTGGGCTTAGAGTTTGTTTTGTTAAGCTAAAATTTACTAATATCATCTTTTACTGATAAGCACCAGAAGTTCTATAAAAGCGAGGTCATAATGTTCAAAAACAGACGGTAAAAGACTTGGGACAAAATTCAAAATGTGTAGACTTGAATACGTAAATTAAAAGAGCCCATGACCCGCCCCGAAATACCATCCACCACTTTAGCTTAACATAGCCATTCATATAGATTCTTTAAAATTCGTTGTAAGGGAAGTGCTCCGTTCAGAATCTTTTCCAGTAATGCACGTGCTGGGGTCAAAATGCAGATTGAGCACAAGACAGACGGAGCGACAGGCACGCTTAGCTCAATTCAAAAATTGATTCTTAACATATAAAAAGGATTTAGAAAATATAAAAGATTGGCTACGTGAAGTCCTTCCGAGTATTGGATACATACGTACAGACTTACTTTACCCTTGCACATACAAGCAGACCAGGATATAGTGAACGCATCTGCAATAATAACATAAAATATATAAGTGTATTTAAAAGATTTAAGAGGTTGCTGTATTCGAAGTCCTTCTATGAGTTGCATGCATACATCCAAACTTAATATTTTCTTCTACAACAAGAATGTGACATTAACAATCTTAAGGCCTACCGCACCACACCAGGTGTCGAACCCGTGGTTTCCATCCAAGCATCGGACATCTTAATCGCTAACTCACGTGACGCGTTGTAATAATAATAATACTAATAATAATAATAAAACGCAAAACAGTTGGGCAATGCTGGCAAAGAAATTGTGGTGTCACTATTGGCCCTCGATAGTTATACAGGTAGCTTATAGATAGTTACATTTTTATACCGATCTCTCCAAAGGACGGTGGCATATCCATTCTATCAAAACATTTGCAACACGCAGGGGGAAGCTTCACGTACAATCTATATAAACATCGAAATGTGGATCGCTTAAGCATGTCCAGCTGTTCGTTGCAAATCGTCCGGTGGCAAATCGCCGTTTCCAATTTAACAAAAATATTACAAGTTCATATGCATGTAGGTTAGTATAGAAAATGTTCTCAAAAGCAATAAAACAATCAGATTTCTACTTATTTTTCGTAAACCACACGAGATACTTCATTATTCAAAATGGAAAAATTCGACATTGTATTGTCTTGAAATTCTATTCTATCTCTTCTTCTATTTTTTTTTTTCGTTTCCCTGTTCCTGCTTTGTTACTTTGGAGGAAAGTCGATGGCTTTCGGTGTCTTAGAATCTTCTTCTCGTTACTTAACAGTCTGTGCAATTACGACGCATGTTTTCGACCGACTAAGTCAGTAATCTAAGAATAACATTTTTAGTACAGTACTATGTTGCGAATAATAGCAGGTAACACTAACTTTACTGATATTCCTTTCGAGGGTGGAGATGATGCGAGCGAGCTAGGGATAATTACGCAAGCATATAAGAATGTTTCAGTTTAGCTTCGTATGTCTGCTCAGATACCACACAATAATACATACTATTTGTTGATCATCTTTAGGATCTTGGATCATTTCTTTCATTTTGTCATATTTTACCGGCTGGGTCCTAAACTGTAATAATCAATAAAAAATTTCTTTCTTAGCACGTGCGGCTTACACCAAAAATTTTTCCGGCTCTTCTACCGCACAGACTTTGTAAGCTGTTTATATTTGTTTATTGCTCGCTGTTCGACAGGTTGCTTAAATTTTCCTCCTTTTTGAATTTCCGTCATTTCGAAGGTATTTTTTAAAAATATAATTATGAATATGACAACCACTCAATGATAACTTCTTCTTCTTACTGCAATTCATTTGTTGTTGATTTGCCACGTTGTAAAAAAAGGTCCAATGTGAACACAGAGTTCTTCAAACAAGCAACCTACACCAAAAAGTGAACAAGAACAAGCAACCTACCTCTAGAATAAACAAGAACAAACATCCTACCCCAAGGAATAAGAAGAACAAGCAAAGTACACCAAAAAATGAACA